ATGCAGATCCAGGAATTACACTTTGAGAATCACTAACTTAAGGAATGCTTGCTGTGAAAGCAAGAATACTTCAATGGCAGTGTTTAAAGAGATTCTCATTTTCTGCAGCCCTAGGCAAGGCTGTAGAAAAATCAGACCCAAGACTTAGTCATAGAGTTGTAAAGAAGAGAAAATTCACAGGTTCAATAGACTTTTATGCTAAAACCAGGGGCCTGGTATAGAAGAAGTCAGATAATGAGACCTGAGATAGCTAGATATGTGTACAGTTATACTTCAACAGCATGAACATCCAGATTTCTCTGAACCTTATAAACTGACAGAAGCAAACTGCTTCTCCTTGCTAGAAGAGAGACGCCTCCACTTTTCTGGAAACCATGCAAAACATTCACCTAAAACAGGCTCCTTGAAAAATGTCACAATCAATCTCAAAATTTGTTATTGCCTTCACTCAACACCTCCAGAACAATACTATGGTCCCTGCCATAAGAAAAAAAAAAGCATATTCTAAAATCTGCAGAATAAGGGCAGCATGTACCATTGGAAACCTTTCTTAAAGGGGAAGCAGAATATAAAGCTGGGTATGGAAAGCTTGTAGTTATGACAACATTAAATGTCTAGAAAAAACGCTGGATCAAGCTATAACATACTACAAAGTATATCTTATTAAAACTTTGACAAAAATAGATATTCTTAGCAACCAAAAAAAAAAAAAAAAAAACCAACTCTCACTGATGCCCTAATGGAGTAATGGCCAAGAAAAACTATAAAATTGCCCTTTATTAACCAAGATCAGAAGCAATACTGCATCTTGGGGAAAATGCATAGATTACTTCAAACTTTGAAATATAAAGGATAAATGATAAAAGGATGATGGCTCCCATCTACAAAAAGCAGAGATACTGTGACACATGGAAGTGAATGCTTAACAAGTGGTTACCCAAATTGCAACTGCTTTATCAGTTGTAGAATCTTTACCAAAGAGAATTAATATAGCCTTTGGCATGTTTTTGATCTCTTGCATGTATAATTTTTAATCCCTAACAGTAAAAGTAATCAAAATTTTTATTTATGTGAGAAGGACAATAGTTCATATTCACTGCTTCACCTAGGAAATATGTTAGCTTTCCTTCTTTCTGACAAAATATGGCCTACAGGAATCTTTGTTATCCTGATAATTTGCAGAACATTTGTTCTATATTGATGACAGCATCCTAATAGAACCTAATAAACAGGAAATGTCAAAAAATCTGAATAGTCTATCACATGCATGCCAGGGGATGAGATGTAAGCCCTACAACAATTTAGTGAAGTTTTAGAAGTCCAATAACCTTGAGTAAGCTAGTACATTCTAATATCAGGGAAATGCATCACATTTGTATCTTGCACCACAAATAAAGAGGCACTTGGAGGAACTCAATGGATTGTGAAGGCAGCATATCTCAAAGTTGGTTATCCTGCTATGAGCTAATTGTTAGAGGATTAAGAATATCAGTTTCAAGTGACACCCAGAGCACAAGAAAGGCTTATAACAAGTACAGGTAGAAGACAAAAATATCATAGAAAACATTAACAAATCAAAAAAACTGGTTCTTTGAAAGAATTAACAAGACTGATGGACCCCTAGCCAGAATAACCAAGAAAAAGAGAGAAAAAGCCCTAATAAACACAATCAGAAATACAAAAGATCAAATCACAACTGAACCCAAAGAAATACAAAAGATTATCAGATATTACTATGTACGCCTATATGGGGAAAAACTTCATAACCTAAATGAATGGAGGACTTTCTGACATTATACACCCTGCCCAGGTTGAAACAAGAAGACACTGAAACAGTAATAGAGCAATAACAACCCAGGAAATTGACTCTGCCATATGAAAACTACCTACAAAAGAAAAAGCCCTGGACTGGATGACTTTCCAGCAGAATTCTACAAAATGTACAAGGAAGAGCTGACACCAATCCTATTGAAAGTATTCCAGGCAATTGAGAAAGATGGAATTCTCCCCCAACCATTTTACAAAGCTAACATCACACTGATACCCAAACCAGGTAAAGATCCAACAAAAAAAGAGAACTATAGCCCAATATCCCTTATGAATATAGATGCAAAAATCCTCAACAAGATTCTAGCAAATCAGATTCAAAACACATCTCAAAAATCATCCACCATGGCCAAGTAGGCTTTATCCCCAGAATGCAGGGCTTGTGCAACATTCTCAAGACCATAAATGTAATTAAATACAACAACAGATGTAAAGACAAGAACCACATTATTATTTCATTAGATGCAGAAAAAGCTTTTGACAAAATCCAACATCATTTCTTGATAAAAACCCTCAAACACCTAGGTATAGAAGGAACATACCTCAAAATAGTAAGTGCCATCTATGTTAAACCCACAACTAACATATTGCTAAATG